GCGAACTGCCGGAACGCGCGGCTGCGTGGTCCTCTTGCCACTCTTCGGGAAGCTCAGGGACTTAGGCGCCCCTGGGCGGGGGCCACCAGCCTCTCAGCCAGTGTTCTACCTCTCCCGCCCCCGCCTGCACCCCCGAGGGACCGCGAACTGCCGGAACGCGCGGCTGCGTGGTCCTCTTGCCACTCTTCGGGAAGCTCAGGGACTTAGGCGCCCCTGGGCGGGGGCCACCAGCCTCTCCACAATTCCTATAACCCTCACCCCCACCCCCTTCTCAGGCCTTTTGTTCCGGCCACAGAGCCGTGCCCGATGGCAGTTTTCGCCCCAGGGCTTGGTGGTTCTGGACTCCTCCCTGGATCAGCTCTTCTTAATTAAAAGGCAAGGGCTTGGGGTAGGGGTGAGGGGAACGTAGGAAAAACCTATTTCCGAAACTCAAGACTCGGCTGTTTTAACGAACGAAAGAAAGAATCCCAACTCTGCGCAGGTGGATTCATAGGCGACGCGAGGATATTGTGGAAATTTAGAAGGAAAAAATAAAAAACAGGCGCTAGGATCAGATGACGGTGATAGGCTGCTCGGCACACAAAGGGAGCGTAGGGCAGGGTTTACGGAGCAAGCCTGCAGCGAATGGGGCACAGATTGTTCCGAGATCCAGTCGTTTTCTCAGTCAGATCTACGCGAAGGGAGGGGAGGGGAGGGGCGGGCGGGACCGTTACCAGGGCGCCCGGCCCTGCCCCGGGCAGTGCCACTGTCCGATTCCAGGATGCCGAGTGGCTGCCGGTGAATAACTGGGCGCCCTTAGCGCTCACCACCGGGCGGGAGGACATGGCCTCCTTCATACCCCCCACAGTCCTGGGAGGGGCCCCTGAGGGTGCACCCCGTGGACCCAGGCTGCCCCCCAGAGTCTAAACCACCTTCCCAGGGCCTCCAGACACCCTCTTCTTCGCCCTACACTGCTTCCATCCTCATCATAACCCTGCAAGATTGGGTGTCCTGCCATTCTCATTTTACATTTGGGGAAACTGAATCCCAGAGATTTGATTCTGTGATCACAGCCTTAGCAAGAGGCAAAGCCAGGATTTGCACCAGGCAGTCCAGCTGTATGCTCTTAAATACCCAAGCAGGCAGGTGGCCCACTTGGCACTCAGTATCTTTTTCACCCACCCCAGGGTTTGGCATAAAGAAGAGCTGCTTCATTTCTTCTCTGAGCTTAGCACATAATGGGGCTGTCCAACGAAAGTTTCAGGCAAATGACTCAGAAAAAAAAAAACCAGGTTCCCAGGACCAACAGGCTGCAATTCTTTGAGACAGGTTCTCTTACTCTGTCACCTAGGCTGGAATGCACTGGCAGGATCACAGCTCACTGCAGCCTTGAACTCCTGGGCTTAAGCGATCCTCCCACCTCAGCCGCCCAAGTAGCTACAGTGACAGGCCTGTGCCACCATACTCAGCTAATATTTTTTGTAGAGATGGGGTCTCACTCTGTCACCCAGGCTGGAGTGCAGGGGTACGATCATAGCTCACTGCAGCCTCGAACGGCTATGCTCAGCAGTCCCCCCACCTCAGCTGCTTGAGTAGCTGGGACTACAGGTGCATGCCACCATGCTTGGCTATGTTTAAAAAAAAATTTTTTTGGAGGAACGGGGTCTCACTATGTTGCCTAGGCTGGTCTCAAACTCCAAGACTCATGATCCTCCTGCCTTGGCATCTCAGAGTGCTGGGGTTACAGGCATGAGCCACTGTGCTTGGCTGAGAAGTTGCCATTTTATTGGGAAAGGTGTCTGTCATTTCTCTCCATGATCTAGACTTTGACCATGTGACTCCAAGCTAGGACCACTGCCTTGCTTTCCAGCTTCAAACTTGCTGACTTGAAATGGGCCAGGACGGGAACACTTACACCACGGAAATTGGCCAATGCTACACAAACTGGTCTCTATCCACCCGGGGAGCTGGTTAACCATGGTTATTGCAGGTGCTATTTGCTGCTTCCTCCACCCCATTTCCAAAAGTTTCCACTGTTCCACCAAAATAGAGGGCAGCCAGCGAAACTGTCCAGGCTCAAGGCTCTGGGAGCAGACGCTGCAGAGCTAAGTCCGCCCACGTCTAGAATCGCCAATTCCAAGGTCAAGGAGCCCCGGGTTTCTTGGGGAGGCTGCTTGCTTCCCGGCTTCCTCCGAGTGAGGCTTCTGCCCTTTGACCACCAGCCCAGGTTTCCAGATGGAAGGCTTCGAGGCGGGGGCCGGGCTGGGGCCTGCGGGGGTTCCCGGGCCTGGGGCAGGTACTTACCATCCTCGTCGGTGCGGACGACCACGGGCGAGCTCTCGGGCCCTGGTCCCACCTCTGTGTGAGCGACAGTCGTGATGCGGTACTGGGTCCACTTCTCCAAGGCCTCCAGCAGGATCTGAGTGGTGGTCGGGGGGATGCCGTTCACCTCCTTGGGTTCCGGGTCCTCTGAGCCCAGCGGTCGGTAGCGGACGCTGTAGCCCACCAGGGCCCCGTTGTGCGTTTCCGGCGGCGGCGGGCGCCAACTTACCAAAATGGCCGTGGAGCGCACGCTGACACATTTAACGTCTTGAGGGGGGGCTGACGGTTCTATTGGAGGGGGGGAGAACGT